GACCTCCAGGGAGGTTTCCTGACCCCTCTGTGTCCCCCGCTCACCTGAAGCCCCTAAAATAGTTGGGGTGCCCACTGCTCAGAGGCTCCCATGAGCTCATGGAGGTGGGCCCTTGATCATCGGTTTTTGTTTTTTTACTACATTTCTTCCGTGTGCAGTGATCACACTTCATCTGGAGCAGAGTAGGCTCAAGTGACCTTGTGGAGCGTCTAGGGAGGGGAAGCAACCGCAGTGCCATGGTTGTCAGTGCCTGCAGCTCCGGACCACCCACTTGGTTTTAAACGCAAACCCGCCTTGGACAGGCCTTCAAGGTCTTTTTTCCTTCTGTCTGCTCACATTCAAGTGCTGGCAGTGCTGGTCCCTTGGTGCCTGGCCTGTCCTCTTCAGATTCAACCTGCAGGACTACTAAGGAAGCCAGTCCAAGGGATGGGAAGCAGCCTCAGTGCTGATCGCGATCACGGGCTGCAGGCAAGGCGGCACCTCCAATCGCGATCACCGGCTGTGGGGTGGGCAAAGACGGCCCCGGTTCTCAGATCCAGGGCTGGGGGGGCAGGGCAAAGGCGGCCCCCAGGGCCACCTTTGCCCTGCCACCCGGCTTTTGCCTGCCGCCTGGGTTTCCGATTACCGTTCTTCCGTCCTTCCCCTTTCGCCTCCCATCATTGTGCCTAAGTATGCAAATTAACTGCCATCTTTGTTGGCGGTTAACAGCCATCTTTCTTGGCAGTTAATTTGCATATCGCCCTGATTAGCCAATGGGAAGCATACTGAAGGTATGGTCAATTACCCTTTTTGTCTTTTATTAGATTAGATTACATTTATAAAATGATAAATTAAAAAGGAAAGTAATCTCAAATGTTAGAGGTCTCCTAGAGACCTCCTTTAAATTATTAATCATTTAAAATTTTTCTCCTGCTGGTATTTCCACTAGAAGTTACTCTGGATTAGGTACAATTCTGGACAAACCTGATAAAAAGATAATTACTGTTTGTATGTCTTAGATCACCTTCTGAAGTAAATGTAAATGGCCCAATCTTACCTGAACCACTGAGGAATTGAGGTACTCTGCACACACCCCTAAGGGCTGCACCAATGCTGAAACTGCCTGAAAAAAGACAGTGAAGGTTAGAAATAAATGTAAGTGGGAGCTTTTCCTTCAACATTAAATAAATTCCTTTCGCTATGTCAGAGAAAATTTTAAATAGAAGTTTTATCAAGTCACAAATGAATAACTAGGCCAACTAAACTCTTGGGTAGAAAGAATTGATATAAAGATGTCAATCCATTTAAATTATTATAAAAAGTTAATGTAATTTAAATAACAGCATGCCAATAAAACTTTTTTGGAGGACTAGCTGAAATGATTCTGAAGTTCATGTTATACAATACTGAAAATTTTTATTTGAAAAAGGAGAAAGGGGGAGAACGGTTGGGGAAGGAGTGAAATGTGCCATTAACAAAAAAATATTTAAGACTTCCATGAAGAACACTATAAAGTATACTGCAATATATACAAGAAGGCTCAAATAAATGAGGAGATACCATGTTCTTACATGAAAAGGACTAGTACAGTAGAAATATAAATTCTCCACACACTATCTATAAATTTAACACAATCTCAATGGGATTTTCTGCAGGAGAACCTAACATGTTGATTATATTCAGAAGAATAAAAATATGAGAATGATAAATAAAACTGTAAAGTATAAAATGAAATGAGTGTTTTTATAACCCTGAGATGGGAAGAACATTCCCCAAGCAAGTTATGAATCTTTTAAGCCATTAAGGAAAATAATGACTACATAAAATTTTGAAGCGTCTGTGTAGCCAGCAATAAAAATGAAAAGAGAAGCAAAAGACCGGAAGAAAAAATCTACAAACACACAAAATAAACATGGCTTGGATAAGCTTACTATAAAAAGAATTCCTGAAATTTATCAAAACCAAAAACCAAAAGAGACCTACATAACTGGGTCAAGTTAAAGAAGAAATAGAAACAGCCAATAATTGTATGATGAAATGCTCAAATTCACAGAAAATTGGAATATTACAAATTAATAAAATATCATTTCCTATCCATCATATTGAAAAATTAAAGATTGAAAATAATCAGCACTAATAAAAGGATAAGGAAATGACTTTGTGAGGAAGAGATTTAGCACTAGCAATTATAATTTTAAGATGTATGTAAGTCTCTAACCCAGAAATCCCGTTTTCCAGCAACCTATCCTTCAAAAATGGTTGCATATACAAATAAAGACAAATTTACATGGAACACTCTCCGCAATAGCAAAAACTTAGAAATAATCCAATGCTCATTCATAGATGACTGCATCATGGTACAACTTCTGTAGGAATACACTGGAGCCATTAAAAACACTGACAGTACTAACCTGGAAAGATGTCCATGATATCATGCTAAATGAAAAAATGCTACTAGGCATAGCTTGATTATAATTTAGTCTTAAAGAGAGAAAGAACATGTACAGATGTATTTTATGTAAATTTAGAAAAAACTCAGAAAGGCTAAGCCTAAAATGGTAACCATTTTCTAGGAGGTAGGTATATTCGTGTGGTGGGGACAGAGTGCAAGAAAGGCAAATTTCACTTCTTATTCTGAACAGATATTAATTTTAACTGATGGACTGTGAATGGTCTCCCTCCCCCAGTATTTTTCAAATTCAAAATATTTAATGTGAGTGTAAATGTTAATGTAAAATGAAACATTAAATTGTACTCCATTTATCATATGGCCTAAATTTATTCTGGGACATAGTCACCTTCTTAACTGGTCAGAAATCAGGCATTTATTGTGAAATTTTCATCATACTTTTTAAGAGTCTCAATTTTGGAATCTCTTTCTCTTAGGCCTGAATTTTACCATCCCTCAATACAACCTAAATAATATAATTCTACATCAACTGCAATACACAACACAGTTGTAAAAAATGGTCTGAACTGAGGAAAAAATCTTGGAAAAATCTTTAACCTCAAGACATTTGAAAATAATGACAATAAGCTCAGATCCCTATATATCTATCTTTAACCAATTTTCATCCAAATAGTGTAGAAATTTTGGCTGCTCTGTATTTTTTTTTTTTTTTAATCCTCACCCAAGACCATGCTTTTATTGATTTTAGGGAAAGAGAAAGGGGAAGGGAAGAAGAGAAACATTGGCTGCCTCCTGCACATGCCCCAATTGGGGATGGAACACACAACCTGTATATGTGTCCTGACTGGGAATCAAACCTGAGACCTTTCAGTGTACAGGACAAAGCTCCAACCAATTGAGCCATGCCAGCCAGGGCTGTGTTAACCTTTTTAAAAAAATGAAGTTAAATTTCTGATATCAGCTGAATAAAACCCTCTATCTCAATAGGTTTCTGTTTTATTTTTGCTTTTAAAAATCACTACCTATTATCTTCCTGGTCAACAGTCATTTCTAACATACTTTATTCAATGGGGATAAAACAACAGCCCAACAACCTAGCTAATAATGTTCAGGGAAGGTGGAAGAGGCTTCCTGATCAGGGTCAGTGGAAGTACTTATGATCTGGCAGACATCTGATCTTTAAGGACAAACAGTGGGTGGCAAGAAAGGGTCAATCTATTACCAACCATAACTTCAGTCTTTTTCCTTGACTGTTATGTCCCTCATGCAAAGATTAGTCATGGTCCCACAGAAATAACTGTTACTCTAACCACAATTTGCATCACTTAGGCAAATTTTCTGCTCTGATCTATTTACAGTAGCTAGCACAGTGTCTTATACATGGAAAGTACATAAGTGTTTTGTTTTGTTTTAATCCTCATCTGAGGATATTTTTTCCATTGATTTCCAGAGAGAGTGGGAGGGGAGAGGAGGAGAGAGAGAAAGGAAAACATTGATGTGAGAGAGAGAGACATCAATTAGATGCCTCCCGCACAAACCCCTACAGGGGCTAGGGAACCCATAACCAAGGTATGTGCCCTTGACTAGGAATCGAATCTGTGACCTTCTAACCACTGAGCAAAACTGGCCAGGGCTACGTAAGTTGTTTTTAATTGAATGACCAATTACCTAGAGAACAGAATAAAGTGCTTTCAGCTATGAACAGGTCAGCAGTCTGTGCAAAATTAAAGATTAAATTATTTCCCTAACCACAAGATTAAATTTTTTTGAGAAAATGAAGTTGACATGAAAAGATAATGGTGTTGCACCTGAGGGATGATTCTCAGCTCCTTTACAGCCCTCTGTTACCTATGCATCGCTGTAACACCAAAAAGCTTACGATACAACCTTATTTTATTTGTGCCTGATTCTATGAAATAAATTGATTTAACTGAGGCATAAAATTGTTATGTACACAAATACTTGCCACATATACCAATTGTCCTTAAATAACAAGAAAATTGCATGTAGCCATTACAAATTAAGAGAAGAATACCATATGCAAAGGGAAATTAATGAAATAACACCCTATATTGAAATTTGGTTGTTATGAATAAGAGTAAGCATTTCTACGGTTATCAAAACCATGGAAGCTGGTTCTGTAAAGTCTATATTATACTGTAACATTTAATTTAATGTGTCCAGGTCATGTCCCTTGGTTACATACCAACACAAATATAAAGTGAACTTCCACATCAGGCACATGTAGGGGTTTAACTTACCCCAAGTTCTATATCTTCTGAACGGAGCTTAGCTTGAATTGCTGCAAATCCACCCAATTCTCCAAACTGGAAAGAAGGTACAAGCTCATTTTAAAATGCCACACATTAATATTTTAAGCAAGGAATTAAGGCTAACGTTCTACTCTATCAATGCACTCTATGCCCTTGTGACACACTCACTGCAGGAGATGTGCTGAGTCCTAAGGCTGGTTTCCATCTGGATAAACATCATGCATAAAAAAGAGGAAGGGACTATAAAACCTGTCTCCCTAGGAAAAAATTCTGATTATTCTCTCTAGTTGTCATCTACTTAATATACTAAATTCTAGGAAATTTTATTAGAACATGAAAAATAAGTCATTAATAAAAGTTGTATACCTTGTTTACCAAATCCACAACCCATCCATGAGGTTCCTATGAGAAAAGAAAATAGAAATTGAGATGGCAATATAAAAAGTTCCCATGAACTCTTATATTTCTTTTATTCTAAAAAATACTGGATAAACATGTATTAAAATCTGAAAAATATTTTGAAAGGTTTTCCCAAATGCTTCGTAATGCAAATCTCTGACATAACTATATATAATTTTAGGAGTCTCTAAGTCTGTATTATAAGTGTACCTATTGTTTGTTATATAGTAATTTTTTGTTTTCGTATTTCTTCCACTATGCTTTAAGTTATGAATCATGTCTTATTACTCCTTATATTAAGAAAAATGGCCTTTTAATTTATATCTCCAAAACACAGAATAATGTCAGACACAGTATATGGTCAATAAATGATTGAACATTTACTTCAGAACCTCTACTTCTGATAAAGAACCTCTATTCTGCTAAAGAAATGGACAAGTTTTTTATCTACTAACTTGACTTCTTTCAACTGTTTCTTAACAACCAGTTGTTTGATCAAGGGATTGTTTAAATTATGTCCTCCTTGTGGATATAACGCTATTCACACACTGCAGGACTTGAAAGATATAAAGATACTGGTTCTGTACTTGAAAACAAACTGTTAATGCTTATGGAGTTTAAAAGAAAATTATACATGAAACTACTAAATTATTTTTTCTAGGTATAATTAGTCAATTCAAATGATTTCAAATAAGGAACTGGGACAGCTATTAAACTGGGGTTCTGATAACTCAGTAAACGGGGCACTGATGTTATGTAGTCATTTCTCATTTCACTCAACATCACTTCAAGTCCATAAAATTCTTCATGATGTTAGTTAACATCTATGGAAAAATATAGAATATCTAAAAAAAAAAGAAAGGTCAGCAATTTTGTGAGTCATACGGAATATTTGTCATTTTTCATAGACTGTTTTAACTCTTCTGTGTAAACTGTTATTTTTACAGTACAGAAACCTTTTCCAATACATTTCTCAGTAAAAGATGAAACAAAATTATGTTTACCTTTTGGAAAGTAGATACAGGTGAGATAGCAAACATATTTCCCTCTCCGAACACTTCTGCCCAATTCCTTTGAGACACTTTCATTCTGTTTTTAAAATGGTATTCATTATCAGGATTGAAAGCCTAGATTCAAAGAGAACATAGAAACATTATTATTATTTATTTCTATAGCAACATATATTAGCATTAGAAAAGATAAAAATACAGCCTTGGGCTCCTTTATTAACGGAATCTTAAAAGTATCCTCACAAAGCATACTCTTTAGCTGATGCAGAGGAACAAATGACTAAAGTGGTGTTCTCCTGTCCTGTTCAACATTTGCTGTGAGGGAAGAGAAGGAGGTAACAGGCTGATTCAAGCAAGGGGATACCAATGTTCAAGATATCTTAGGGCTGCCACAGGCAGAGCTGGGCAGAAAGGCAGTGAACAGAAGTTAGGAGGGAAAACAAGAGCATTCCTTCTTCATGCACTACTATTGCTAGTCAGGGAAAAAGGCCAGAAAGCAAACTACACGAACACCCTATGTGAAAGTATTTATGCCGTAAATAACCAGGGAGACATAAGGAAAGATATTTAATCATTCTAAGAACTGAAAAAAACTACTAAAATTAGAAAGGAATTTCTTTAAAAGTGAAAACAGAATGGTTGCCCTGCTTTCAAAATAAAAAGCAAGGATCCTAACAGCTAAGTTAATATCTTTAATGATAATACTGTCACTCATTAAGTACAAGTCAGAGGATAGTAGGTATGTTAAACAAAATATAAAACAAAGCACTTCATATTTTGGAGATACTATACCATTGTAAGCACACCCAGGAGACCAATGGGAATTGGATCTTGTTTTATTCTCTCTGCAACCAGTTCTATTAAGAGCATCAACATGTTGTAGATCCCTTCATGAATTTCAGTACCCCACTTGTGAACAGCACTTGATGTTAGGAGCTACAAAAACATGAAGGACACTTTAGAGTCTAATTTGAAAAGGAAAAAAGTCAACAGTTTATTAGTTCAGTCTCAAATAATCAAGAGATTATTAGCATAATACTTTTATGCAGATGATTTGTTTTAAAAGACCCATAGCTGTACCACAGTTTTGTTTTTTTTTATATATTTTATTGATTTTTTTTACAGAGAGGAAGGGAGAGGGATAGAGAGTTAGAAACATTGATGAGAGAGAAACATCGATCAGCTGCCTCCTGCACACTCCCTACTGGGGATGTGCCCCCAATGAAGGTACATGCCCTTGACCGGAATTGAACCTGGGACCCTTCAGTCTGCAGGCCGACACTCTATCCACTGAGCCAAACCAGTCAGGGCTGTACCACAGTTTTTTAATCCACTCATCTGCTGGGAAGGCAGGAGAGGTTGGGGGGAAGAGGGAGAGATCAACCAAAGGACTTGTACACATGCATATAAGCATAACCAATGAATACAGACATCAGAGGGGTGAGGGGATGGCTGGGGAGGGGATTGGGACACATATGTAATGCCTTAATCAATAAAGAAAATTTAAAAAAAATAATAAAATAAACATTTTAAAAAAAGACCCATAGCTGCAGTCCATCTACTCATTCATGTATTTCAGTCAACACTGAGTTTTGTTTTTGAACTTTAATTCCCTTACATCAGCGGTTCTCAACCTGTGGGTCGCGACCCCTTTGGCGGTCCAACGACCCTTTCACAGGGGTCGCCTAAGACCATCCTGCATATCAGATATTTACATTACGATTCATAACAGTAGCAACATTACACTTATGAAGTAGCAACGAAAATAATTTTATGGTTGGGTCACAACATGAGGAACTGTATTTAAAGGGCCAGAAGGTTGAGAACCACTGCCTTACATTAAAGAAGTTAGTTAAAAAAAGTTTAATTTGCTCCTGTACTTTTCAATATTACTAGAAAAGGTTAAGTAGTTTAGAGCAAATAGATCAACTCCTGATACTGTGTTTTCTAGCTGTGTGGCCTTGGACAAATGTACCAAAATTTTCAAAGGCTCAGTTAGTTCTCTCATCTCTAAAGAGGAAAGTTCCTACCAACTTTACACAGATGTTATAATTATCAAAGGATGTAACTAATGTGAAAGTATTTTACAAATTGTGAGGTATTATTAATAATTTAGCTTGGAGATAACCATTAACCAATATTCCTGGAGTCTAAGAAATAAATTTCATATTTCATGGATTCTAACGTACACATTCTTTTTATGATTGTTTATATCTCAGAAACAGGACTGCATCTTCCCACCTGCTGACCAGATTACAACAGGATTCTAAATGTGAAAAAATATTTAGAAATACCTTACCAGTTTATTTTGCTTGCACTTCTCTTTTTGGTTTGTATAAAAGTAATATTCAACTTTAAAAAATGTTTAAGTAAATCAAAATAGCTCTAAGTGATAAGGCACTGCAACACTGTTTATTTTGTAGCTCTTTTTCTTAAATATAAGCATAAAATATAAAACAATGGTGCATCTTATACTCAGCATCTTACATTTGTTAAAAAGAGGGAACAGGCACATAGATGAATCTAAAATCATCATTAATGAATTTCCCCAATCCTCAGTATTCTATTCCTTGAGGGAGTCTAATTCAGAAACAATGTCTAGAAGAGGGAATGAGAACTCAAAGGATTTAGCTTATTAAAATAATGGTAAATTGATATAGTGATTTCATGTTTGCATAAGATTTCCCTTCAGAGAGAAAATACGGTGCAATAAAAATTTAATCTTGGCCACATTAAGAAGCTCTTAACAAGAGCAGCCTAAGAGAGCTCAAACTTCTTTAGCTGCTGAGGAAAACCTCAGTTCCAGATTTTTGACATTCCAATTAGTTGCACTATTTGCTCAAATGAGCAATAATCATAAGACCGATTTTTATATAAACCAAGGAGTGTTTTTTTGCTTGCCTATATAGTCTTCTTATATTTAAAAGTTAAAGCAGCAGAGATTAACATTTGAGAAGCTTCATGGTGACAATAACAAAAAAAAGTAGATGGATTAAGCACTATTCCCTCTGTTGCCATCTCATGTATTCAGTTTTTAATTGGAAAATGAAGTTCTGTCTTCCAGAAGAGATGGGGAGGGACAGAGAGCACCTGGTGGGGAAGATGCATACCTGTGCACTATGGCTACACCTACATTTTTCCCCATGCCTCAATATACTAGTAAAGAATCCAGGCTGGCCTGAAGGAGTAAGGTGAAGAAAGCAGAAATGACAACCAAGCTCCTTTTGTGCATCTTATTCATACAAGTGCTTATTAATTACTTATACCCTTCTAAAAATTTTGAGGCAGCTTATAAGAAAACCCTAGAGAAGCGGTTTAGAAGGAGAGTCATCATACCAGAAAACACAGCTAAGGAAACCAAGACCAATTATATAAAACACTCCGAGTTTTCCGGCAGCCAAGTCTAAAGATTCTGTAGCTCTTCCGATTTAATAAAGGAAAGCATGCCTTAGTGATGGGAGGAGAATCTTTTTTAAAGTTCTAAACACTAAAGAAATTTAACAGGCATTTTTACATAAACAACCACGAACAATACAACGCAGGGTGCCCTTGTGCTCAGTTTTACAGAGAAACCCCCAAACAACCCCCTGATCATTTGTTATACTAGTACCAACAGCTGAGGGCATAATATAAAACAGTCCTCTGAAGCATCTCTGTATAGAATCAGAGTATTATATTCCAAAAATGCAACTTGCTAGGAATTGACAGGGCTCTCTGGATCTGGAGATCATCAACCTAAAGGTCCTTTCCTTATGCTAATAAATCCTTTCCATGACTGAAGAAACTTGCATTTTTCTCTCTCTGTAAATGTAGGTGTGTATTTTCCTAGAAGCCCGATGCACAAAATTCGTGCAAGGGGCTCAGCCCTCGCAGTTGAGGCAGCTTGCCTCTGTGGCTTGCCTCGGCCCTCACAGCCCTGGCTTTATCCAGAAGGACGTTGGGAGGGTCTTTTGGCTGTCTGGTTTAATTAGCATATTACACTTTTATTATTATAGATGTCTCACAGTTTGTTACATTACTACTCTGATTCTTACCAGAATTTTTTAAAACTTAAAATAATTTTAAACTATAAATTGGTTGATGAATTCATTCAAAATGAAGATAAATTCTCATTCCAAATAATCCCTAACCGAATGACAATTTTATTTATTTATTTTTTAAATATATTTTTATTGATTTCAGAGAGGAAGGGGGAGGTAGAGAGATAGAAACATCAATGATGAGAGAGAATCATTGATTGGCTGCCTCTTGCATACCCCCTACTGGGGATCAAGTTCACAACCCAGGCATGTGCCCTTAACCAGAATCAAACCTGGGACCCTTCAGTCCACAGGCTGATGCTCTATCCACTGAGCAAAACCAGCTAGGGCCGAATGACAATTTTAAAGATTTCTTCCCTTTTTCAAAGACGAAGCTATTTTTTGTTCCTATAATTAATTTTGTTATTTTTTAAGTCGTGAATCAAAGGAGATTCTATCTGTCAAGATGCAGATGAGAATAATAGTTTGCAAATGAACAGTTTATTTCACTGGGTTTAAACTTTACCCATCTGTAGTTGTAGTGATTTACTTGCATGAGACAAAAATGGTTGTCAAAACCCAGAAGTACAAGACAGCAGGAGACTCGTTTATTCTTTTTATAAAAAATATATTTTTGTTGATTTCAGAGAGGAAGGGAGAGGGAGATATAGAAACATGAATGATGAGAATCATCGATCGGCTGCCTCTTGCTCTTCCCCCCACCGGGGATCGAGCTCACAACCCAGGCATGTGCCCTTTAACAGAATCAAACCCAGGACCTTCAGTCCACAGGCCAACGCTCTATCCACTGAGCCAAACAGCTAGGGCTCATTTATTCTTTCAACAAAGATTTACTAAATCTTTTCTTTGAGCTCAGCACTGGCTACACGCTGGGGAAAACTACAGTGTCTATGACATTGCCCCGGTTCTTGTGGGAATTCAGGACTCATCCTGAAAAGGGAATCTTCCTTCCTTGAGTTAGAAAAACAAGTCCTGTGGTCTCCTATTATCACTCTATCCCACAGATGCTGTCATCCGCATGTCATTCTGCTAGCAAGAATACTCAATTCAGTCAAACTTTCTGTAGTTTAAAACATCTGCTTCTACTTCAGTAAAATAAGTATAAAATGGCTTGTATTCTGATAAATATTATCTTCCTAAGTGCCACAATCCTTAGTTTAGTAAGATGTCTAATGTCCTAGTACAGTGGGGCCTTGACTTACGAGCGTACGAGCGTCCCGACTAACGAGTTTTTTGAGATGCCAGCTGTCTCTCAGCCGATTTTTTGCATTGAGTTGATAGAGTAATTTGAGTTAACGAGCTCCTTAAGGAGCTCGGTCTCAGAACGAATTAAACTCGTAAGTCAAGGCCCCACTGTATAAAATTTTAACCTTAACAATTAAATAGCAGAAGTGATAGTCAACCAAAGACATGTGCAAGCAATTAAATACAAAAGAAGCAAATCACTTATAAGCCCCAAATTTACAGCTACTTTTTTCATATTAGAGGATTCCTCAGTTGAACAAGATTCATAAACTGGTCTCACACATAAAAAACTAAAACAAAAAGCCTGTTCACCTTCAACCCCAGCACAAAATAAATCAGCCGAGCACATATTTCTTACCTTTTTAAATGCTTCAGGCATACACCTATCCATAAATCTTTTACAATTCTCATCAGACTCGGAAAGACCTTAGTAAAATAAATGAAAAAATATGCCTTAGATTTTTAAGTAGTTTGTAGAGACCATATGTACCATTTCAAATACATACATCTGGAACTATTTATGATAGAAACCTTGATTCTTAAGGGATTATTAAAAGCAGAATGTATACATTCTGATGAAGGAACAGGCTGAGAAACAATCACAGTATTAATTTATTTATTAGTACCACAATATATTTATTTTTACTTATTATTAATATACACTTGTTAAATAGTATAATAAATAAATATTAATTAGAACTGAAATGGTTGAACTTATGTTTCCATGTCACAGTAACTTCAAATGACCTGATCAAATCGTAATATGTAAAAACCCAGGGTCCGTAAGCCCTACTGAAGACTCAACTGAACACTGGAAGTCAGTCCTGCAGTCAGTGCTGGGTTGCTGTGGTGACCCAGCACTGACTGCTGTGGGTGCAGGCGCAGCGACCCAGCACTGACTGCCGAGGGGGCTGTGGATCAGGCCCAGAGAGAGAGGCAGGGTCTGATCTGCAGCCTCCGTGGCAGCTGTTGATCAGCCCTTGCCTCTCTTTCTCTCCGGGCTTCGCCAGTAGCCGTGTCTCTCTTTTTCTCCCGCAGGGGCTACTGATCAGCCCCACCTTTCTGATCAGGCCCAGAGATAGGCCAGAGACACTGACTGGCATAGAAACAGACCAATCAGAACCAAATCTGGGTGAACTGTGAGGAGCCGATGGCTGCCTAGGAGGCAGAGCTTTTGACTGGCATAGAAACCGACCCATCAGAACCAAGCTGGCTGGCAGGGGAGGGCCATTGGGGGCGAGATCAGGCTGTCAGGGGAGGGCAGTTGGGGGTGAGATCAGGCTGGCAGGGGAGGGTAGTTGGGGGCGAGATCAGGCTGCCAGGGGAGGGCAGTTGGGGGCAACCAGGCTGGCACGGGAGGGCAGTTGGGGGTGAGATCAGGCTGGCAGGGGAGGGCAGTTAGGGGTAATCAGGCAGTCAGAGGCAGTTGGGGGTGAGATCAGGCAGGCAGGCAGGCAGAGGAAGTTAGGGACGTGCACTGGGCCACTTGTAACTAATAAAACCAAACACTAACTACTTACCATTACTTTCCTAAACAGCTCTATAAAATATAAATATTCTCAAAAAATGCCAAAAATCACTCTTCTTCCTTACCACAAACTGATGAACTCTGTGTAACAAAATGCACAGAATGGTGCCTGGCACACAGTAAGTGATAACTTGCTAAGTGAATGCATGCTGAACACATTTTCTTTTTTCAGAACCACTGCCTAGCACAGCATCTACATCCTAATAGGCACTTAATAAATGTTGCTGCTGAAAAGCCAGTAATAAACGTACCAGAAAATTGCCCATTAGGATTAAATCTAATCCTGTGAAAACATTTCCTACCTACTAATGTGCCTCATATTTAATCATGGTGGTAAACTATGCACACTTTTAATAAGGAGGAAAAAAAACATAACAGTGGCCCAATTCTTACTTTACAATTGAATTCAATATGAAAAAGAAATTATTTTCTCTTTAAAACATACTATAGAAGCTTCCTTATATTGACACCCATTCTTCCAACTTAGTGTTATTTTATTACTCTGTTAGTTTAATATTTGTAAAGCACTTAAGACAGTGCCAAACACGTAAGTACAAAATGTCTGTTAAATAAATATTACCTTCTCTTAAAAAAATAAAAAAGCCAATGAATTGGGACTTTTAAAGTGCTCCAAGCTTCTGTGGAAAAGTTAATTTCAATTTATAAGTTTTTTCAATTATATTTTAAAGAATCTTACACTCTATTGGAGCTGGATGAAAACAGTTGATTTAATTCAAAGCTTTAAATATTCCACAGGGGATAAGCAAAGAATAGAGTAAATGTTCTAAGATTATAAAGTCAGGTCTCTTATTAAAAAACAAAAAACATCTGCTCATGAGTTCTGAAGTCTGAAAACTTACCAAGTCTTGCAAGGTAGGTAGACGCCAACAAGCATTTGCCTAGTGATTCTTCTCTCTTGTAAGGGATGGACCAATGATCAGTCAAAACACGGCTTTCCAGTTCATATAAGTTTGTTGTAGGGAATTCAATTCCTTCCCCTGAGCAGTTTCCGTTTTCATCATTCTTCTGACAAATAGGGATTATGGTAAAAAACAAACAACAGTGACTACTTTAAATTTTTTTTATTTAACACTGAGCAGATGCTTAATCAATAGAAGCTAATAAATAATACCAATCGTGTAGATTCCAAATTTCTTTCTCATAATTTGAATTTAATGATAGAGTTCAGTGGTGACAGTAACAGCTATTGTTGGAGAGTATGGAAACCCTACTGGTGTAGTGTCAGGAGTGAGTCAGTGGTGAGGAATGGAGGCAGCAGGTATCTCTTTGGAGAAATTTATCAAAATTGACCAAGACTATGTAAAGTAGTCTCGAACTTTATTAGAGTGGCCTTCCTACTCCCTCAGAAGGCAAGCTCATCTCATTCTTCAAAGATGAACCTTCTCATTATAAAATAGCAAACCTACCTTCACCTGCAGCCATCCTATTCTCCCCATTTTTGTTGTTTTGTTTTGTTTTTCTTCACTGAAAGGATAAATTTCTTCTGCCTGCTCCCTCTTCTTGATATGCTAGATCTGTTCCCCTCACCTCCCAGGACAGCACACTCCCCTGTTCTCCTTTGGTGGATCTGGCTGGTTCCATTCTATCTCCCCTTCTGGTACAACTTCCCCTTCCTGGCCATCAAGTATTGGAGTTTCTCAAACCTCAACGCTATTTCTCAAACCTCTGGCTCTTCTCATTATACTCCAGAGAATGGCACATCTGTTTAGCAGCACAGCCAGAAATCAGGACTCATCCTCTTTTTTTGTTGATAATTTCAAGATTTTTTAAATTGAATTTATTGGGGTGCCATTGGTTATTAAGACTATGTTTCGGGTGTACAATTCTATAATACATCATCTGTATATTATATTGTGTGTTCACCACCCCAAGTTAAGTCTCCTATCACTATTTATCCCCCCTTTTCTCTCTTCTACCTCCCCTCAATTCCCCTTTCCCTCTGATGATCACCATAGTAGGTCTGTGCCTATAAGTTGTCTTTTTCTTTGCCTAATCCCTTCATCTTTTCCACCAAATACCCTAATCCCACTCCCATCTGACAGCTGTCAGTCTGTTCTCTGTATTTATGAGTCTGTTTCTATTTTGTTTGTTAAGTTTATTTTGTTCATTAGATTTCACATACAAGTAGAATCATATGGTATTTGTCTTTCTCTGACTGGCTTATTTCAATTAGCATAATACTCCCCAGGTCCATCCATGCTGTCGCAATAGGTAAGATTTCCTCTTTCATAGCTGAGAACCAGGACTCATTCTTAAAACCCGTGCTCCCATCTTCACCCCCAAAGACCAGGATTAGACCTAAACTTCTCTCAAATCTATCTACTTCTGTACAGCTCTGCAGAGATGCCACCATTCCACCAATACTCTTTCAGAGAAGCCTTTCCAGAATTTCCAAACTATGTCAAACTCCTTTAATTCCTTTAAACCAGTGAGTTTCAACCTTTTTCATCTCATGGCACACACAAACTAATTACTACAATTCTGCAGCACACCAAAAAATACATTATATATTTTCCCAATCTGACTTAAAAAAACCAAAGGTATAATTTTCATTCATTCACACAGGCGGCTATTGTTGTGTTGGTTATTGTTATTTTTAAATTTGACAGTCTACAGGAAAAGAGGTCAGTGCCTCTGACTACATACTCAAGGTATCGCACGCTTTAAAATTCTGGCGGCATATGCTGTGGCACACCGGTTGAAATTGCTGCTTTCAACTCTTATTAGAGAGTTAGGGACTCACCTACAGTGGTGTAGACCTGAAAGGGGTTCTAAGGGAAGTAATCTCACAGGGTGATCTATATACAGTAGGTACTTGGGTTACGTCAGAGATCTGTTCCTACAATGCGACATAATGCGATTTTCGCCATAAGTTGGAACCCACCTACATAAGCACCTATGTCACTCACATGGAGCACGTACACAGCAGCAATGAAGTGAAACAGTAAAAAAATTTCAAAGATAACAAATCCTGACCTTTACTTGTGGTAAATAAATAAAACATAAAGGACATATGTACATACGTCGAAATGACGAAGCTTTTTTTTTTTTTTTTTTTTTTACAAATACTGTAAATGGGAGATGGCAATGTAACTCAATGTACGTCGAGTCTGACGTAACTCAAGGACTGCCTGTATATAAAACCCTAATATACAAATAGACTGAACAGCAGAACAACCGAACCAGTCACTATGTGCGCTGACCACCAGGAGGCGCATGCGGAACATGGAGGCATTGTCAGCCGTGGCGGGATGGTGGAGCAGGTGAGCAGGGGCACCGGTTGCTGTCATCAGGGTGAGCCTCTGGTGGTTACTGAAAATTCTTTACTCCCACACGCCATGGTCCCTCCCAGCGCTCACACCTGATGCTGGTGCTGGCCCCACTCACACCCACTGCTGGTGCTGAAGCTGCCACTTGCACCCGCTGCCAGCACCCGGCCCCAATTGCTCGACGCCATCAGCAAGTGCAAGCAGCAGCTGCTGGCCCCGATTGCCCCTCAGGGCTTCTCTACCTCACCCTGCTCCTGAGGGGCAATTGGGGCCAGCAGCCGCTTCTTGCACCCACTGCCAGTGCCAGCCCGCTCACACCCACTGACGGCGCTGGCTCCGCTCGCACCCGTTGCTGGCACTGGCCCCAATCGTTCTGCGCCATCAGCGGGTACGAGCGGGGCTGACGCTGTCAGTGTGTGGGAGCGGTGGTGGCAGGAGCAGGGCAGCCGGCAGACATGGGACCTGGGGCTGCTGCAGGAAGGGCCAGGTGGGGGCACAGAGGATAGGACAAGACCCGCCTCTGTGCCCACCACAGCTTTGTGGTCCACAGTTCCTTTCAAGGTGCACGAATTCGTGCACTGAGCCCCTAGTCCAGTGATGGCGAACCTTTTGAGCTTGGCATGTCAGCATTTTGAAAAACCCTAACTTAACTCTGGTGCCGTGTCACATATAGAAATTTTTTGATATTTACAACCATAGTAAAACAAAGACTTATATTTTTGTTATTTATTTTATATATTTAAATGCCATTTAACAAAGAAAAATCAACCAAAAAAATGAGTTCATAGGTTCGCCATTACTGCCCTAGTCTGACCATAAATTCCTAACCAGATAACTCATGGTGGGTGGTCAAATAACTTTTTTTTTCCTTTATTGATTAAGGTATTACATATGTGTCCTTATCCTCCCATTGCCCTCCCCCCATTCCCCACTCATGCCCTCACCTCCCTGGTGTCTGTGTCCATTAGTTAGGCTTAAATGCATGCATACAAGTCCTTTGGTTGATCTCTTCCCCTTACCCCCACCCTCCCCATCTTCCCTCTGAGGTTTGACGGTCTGATCGATGCTTCTCTGTCTCTGGATCTGTTTTGTTCATCAGTTTATGTTGTTCATTATTTTCCACAAATAAGTGACATCATGTGATATTTATCTTTCTCTGACTGGCTTATTTCACTTAGCATAATGCTCTCCAGTTCCATCCATGCTGTTACAAATAGTAAGAAGTCCTTTTTTTACCACAGCGTAGTATTCCATTGTGTATATATACCAGTTTTTCAATCCATTCATCTGCTGATGGGCACTTTGGCTGTTTCCAAATCTTAGCTATGGTAAAATGTGCTGCTATGAACATAGGGGTGCATATATCCTTTCTGATTGGTGTTTCTAATTTCTTGGGATATATTCCTAGAAGTGGGATCACTGAGTGGCATATACTAGGTGTACCGGTTAATAATGCAGATTTTTTTCAATAGATGGAGTTACACATATTTGATATATATGCGATTTGATATGTATGCTATTTTGTTGTATTGACAGCAAGCTTCAAAACTTCATATGTCAAATTTGCTGAAGGTGTTAACATCATAGATATTTTTACGCTTAAAAATGTCGAATTTCATGCCAAAAAAAGAGCATTTACGGGAAGTTTTAATTCATTAATTTATTTTGAAGAAAAAGTTATTGTATACTTCGGGAAGTATATGGTGAACATGCTCCATCTCAAGATACTTGTGAACGCTGGTTTAAACACTTTAAAAGTGATGATTTCCATGTGAAAGACAAAGAACATCCAGGTCAACTGAAAAAGTTGAAGACCAACAATTACAAGCACTATTGGATGAATATGCATGTCAAACTCAAAAACAACTTGCAGAAAGACTAAACGTTGCTCCGCAAACAATTTCCGATCATTTACAAGCAATGGGAAAGATTTTAAAGGAAGGAAAATGGGTGCCACATCAACTGAATGAAAGACAAATGGAAAACCGAAAAGTCATCAGTAAAATGTTGCTTCAACGGCACTAAAATCCTTTTGGCATCGAATTGTGACTGGCGATGAAAAGTGGATTTATTCTGAGAATCCCAAATGCACAAAATCATGGGTTGATCCAGGTCAACCATCACCATCGACTGCAAGGCCAAATCGCTTCGGAAAGTAGACAATGCTCTGCATTTGGTGGGATCAGGAAGGTATGGCGTATTATGAGCTTCTAGAACCAGGTGAAACCATTAATACTGATCACTACAGACAACAAATAATCAATTTGAACCACACTTTGATTGTGAAACGACCAGAATGTTCCAGAAGACACAGCAAAGTAATTTTGCTTTATGATGCACCATCACACACTTCAAAACCAGTTAAAGACACATTAAAAGATCTTGCCTGGGAAGTATTAACCCACCCAGACCTTGCTCCTTCAGATTACCACTTGTTCCAATCGATGGCACGTGTACTTTCTGAGCAGCACTTCAAACGTACGAAGAAGTGGAAAATGGGGGTCTCTGAATGGTTTGCCTCAAAACAAGAAAAGTTCTCTTGGGACAATATCCACATATTACTTGAAAGATGGGGAAATGTGTAGCTAGCGATGGACATTACTTTGAATAAAGCACTTCTGATGTTTCTCTTGAAATTATCGTGTTTTCTTTGATTACAAAATCCACCATTATTAACCGGTACATCTAGTATATCCACTGATACAGGAAGTAGACTAGTGGTTGCCAGAGGATGGG